TCTTTTGGAAGTGATGAGTGTTTGTGAGGCAGCAGGAGTTTGAAATTTGCTGTCGCTATAGATATCCAGGTGCAATAAATTGCTTTAGCTCTGATGATTAGTATTCAAATGCTGAGTCAACTCTGGTTGCAGTCAGAAGCATGTATACTCATGAATAAATCTTCTTAATTTCTGCGGGGCTTACCATGTAGAAGATTTTCTCATCAGTGGAAAAAGGTATCTCAACACACTGAAATACCCCATTGAAAAAGTTATCAATTACCAATTCAACAGCAGTGTTCCCCCCTCTTCCAAATGTTGCTTTTCGTGTGGATGATTATCCTGCATTTGCTAGATGGGTTCCCCAGGTTTTTATATTGTTTCAAAAACCTGCAAAACCTATTTGTTCAAAGTGAATAGGAATGTAACAATGCACTAAGGTGGGGGGAATCAAGAGGTGAAGATGGGGAATCAAGGGTTGAGTCACCCTTCCACAAGGTGCTCTAGTCCAACCATACTAGCTCCCCCTCAAAAAAATAAAATAAAAAGGGGGGGAATAAGGGGGAAAAATGAAAATGGAAGTTTTTTTTTTGTAGGGCAGGATTTGGTGTTTTGGGGGTTAGGCTAGTCGAGTGTAAAACTTGCTTTTGCAGCATGGGTGGTGGGTAAAAAGTACTGTATCCAGGGGTCTTTTAAAAAAACCCTGTGGGCTGCATTTCTCCAGCTTCTCTCTCGGCCCCTGACAGTTTGGGTCACTCTTGTTTCTACCATGTTACAGAAGTGAAAATGCTTTTTACCCTGTTTTTACTAGGGTCTTTCAGGATTTTCTAACGTCCTTGAAACATTAAATCAGAACCTTGTTTTTTCCCTTCTCAGCTGTTTGCTCCTCAAGGGGCATCCTGTCTCTGCGAGAGGTAGAAGCAGTGTTATTAATAATGAATGGAGAAGGGGCCAGACAGAAGCAGTATAGATTTTATTTTTTTTAATGCTTTTGTTGCAAACTGTCCGTAATGAACTTCAAACAGACAGGAATACCCATCAGGATTACCTCCCCCCCCGTTCATTATTTTTTCTCTCTCTTAGACACTCAGGGGTTAAAGTGGAAAAAAAGTGTGGATTGATTTTGGATTCCAGAGAAATGGAGTGAACTGTTCCTACAATCAAAAGCTGTTGTATAGGAGCCATCAATTAAAATCTGGTCCCTTGGGACACTGGCCTATTTTCAGGCATCACTCTCTCTCATTTGACCAGACAATATTTTTAGCTCAGTTAATGCTTTGTTGCAAACTGTCCATAATGAACTTCAAACAGACAAGAATACCCATCAGGGTTACCCTCCCCCCCCCGTTCATTATTTTTTTCTGTCTCTCTCTCTTAGACACTCAGGGGTTAAAGTGGAAAAAAAAGTGTGGATTGATTTTGGATTCCAGAGAAATGGAATGAACTGTTCCTACGATCAAAAGCTGTTGTATAGGAGCCATCAATTAAAATCTGGTCCCTTGGGACACTGGCCTATTTTCAGGCATCACTCTCTCTCATTTGACCAGACAATATTTTTAGCTCAGTTCTCAAGTGCATGGTCTGGAATTGGCTGGTACAGTTGCCCTCGTTGTGATCATTTGTTTTATTTTCATTGATCTTTTCTTTTCTTTTTTTTTTTTTTTTACTCTCAAGTGCACGGTCTGGAATCGGCTGGTATAATTGCCCTCGTTGTGATCATTCGTTTTATTTTCATCGATCCTTTTTTTTTTAACTGAGAGTGGTGGTGACTGTCATTCTCCTCTTCCTGAAGCATCGCTCTGTTGGTTTAACATTTTCCTGGACCCCATAGCTTCCAGTTCCAGCTGACCGCCAAAGCGTTTCCTCCTCTGCTTGTTTTTTTTTCTTTTTCTGTCCTCCTTTTGCTTCATGTACTGGGGACTCTGCAAATTCTTCACAGCGCCTCATGCTGAGACTCAGTGACTGAAATCCTGTGGGTCAGCATGGTAAACCCATTGAATCAATGGAACCGACGAAAGAGTTGGCTCCAGAGCTGACTTGAGTGGGCTTACTCTGTTTGTGACTTAGTCTGCTGAGCGAAAAGGATTTCAGCCACTAGACAACTGAACTGTGAGAAGCTACCACACCTAGCCAGCGAACCATGGCTGGCAGTATCTCTCCACAGATTTCAGGCAGGATTTTTTTTCTCAGCTACGTGTTGGGTTGCTCACCGCTTGTTTAGGATAGAAGAGAGAGAATGCCATGACACTCAATCAGTTATTCCCCAAATGTTTGTAAAAATAACTTAAGAGGCCTTCTTAGAATTACTTCAGTAAATAGAAAATATTATTTATTACACCAGTAAACAACAACAACAACAACAACAACAGGAAACTTATTCCCATTTAAGAATAGAGAACGCTGTGTTATATTGAACCAGACTCTTGGTCCCTCTAGAGTCTAGACCAATACTGGCAACTCTGACTGGCAGCAATTGCTCTCCAGCTATTCAAGCAAGATTCTCTCTTAGATATACAGTGGTGCCTTGCTAGACGATTGCCTTGCGAAACGAGGAATTCGCTAGACAATGACTTTTTTGAGTGATGTGCTTCACAAAATGATTGTTCCTATGGGCAATTTTCGCTGGACGATGTTTGGGTCCTTGCCTCGCAAGACAGGGGACAGAAGGGGGTTTGACTCCTTTTACCCTCTTTCTTTTTTGCTGGAGAGAGAAAGGGGGAGAATTATTCCCAAAATGCCTGTAAAAATAACCTAAGAGGCCTTCTTAAAATTACTTCAGTAACTAGAAAATATTATTTATTACGCCAGTACAGGAACTTTGTTCCCATTTAAGAGTAGAGAAATTATACTGAACCAGACCAATACTGACAACTCTGACTGGCAGCAATTGCTCTCCAGCTATCCAAGTAAGATTCTCTCTTAGATATATTTACAGATCCCTGTTATTTCCCTGGTGGCCTCCCATTCAAATACTCAGGGGATTGCTTTTCCCCAATATGGTATTGCAAGACGATGTTTTCTATGGACAATTTTTGCAAGACAGTGATTTTTTCCCAATTGGAATGCATTAAATGGATTTCAGTGCATTCCAATGGGGAACTGGGTTTCACAAGACAATGTTTTCACAAGACAGTGATTTCCATGGAACGAATTAAAATCGTCTTGCGAGGCACCACTATATTTACAGATCCCTGTTATTTCCCTGGTGGCCTCCCATTCAAATACTCACTGGGCCTTTTTTGTCAGGATAGTCACTATGACAACCTGAAGTTCCAGATTCACCAGGAGACCCCTGGATGAGGAGCAGGTTCTCCTGTGACTCAGGCCAGCCCTCTGACCCTTTCACTACCACACACTCCCATCACTCTGGCCTCCCGCCTCCCAACGCTCTGAATACGTTACAACAGTAGGAACTGCTTTATGAAACAGGGCACACAGGTCTCAGTTGCTTTTACTGCACCACGTTGTCACCGATAGTTCAATATTTGTCTAGGCAAGGGCTCCCGGTGACCTCCCTCCGTGTCATTTAAATGGGTGCCGTTTCACCACCCTCCCTGTCCCCAGGCTGTCTGTCTGAATCAATGAGCCAAGAACTGTGCTTGAATGAATTGGCACCATCTGGACAGACTGGCATGAAACTGAGGGTAGGCGTAGGGGGGGGTCAGCGGATGGGCGATTAATGAGGCATGCTCAGGGAGGCTGGTTCTTAATACCATTAGAATGACAGAGCAGTTTAGTTACTTTTCACTGAAGCTCTTGTGTGTGCCAGCTGACTCAGTCTCTCTCACCAGTGACTTTATTTGTGTGGCTTATGTGTTGATAAGTACGGGCAGAGTTTTTTTTGTGAGTATACCTTTCAGCCTTGAAGCGTAACCTGATGGCATACGATGCAGCAACTTAAGAATTTCAAATAGTTTCTTTTTTTGTCTATTGTTTTCAAAATCTCCTAATCAAAATGTCCACTGATACATTTTGAGCTGCATTTGACAAAAGAAAAAGCCAGGTAAAAGGTATTAGTCTTCACCCTTCTTGCACTGAAATAAAAACACTTTGTTCGTATGAACATTTTTTTTTACTCCAGTGAGATTCCAGGGCTTCACGGGGTATAAAAAAGGTCCTGTGCCCAACACAAGGCTCTTGTGTATAGGAAACAATTGTGTTTTGCACCAAAATACTAAGTCAGAAAATAGAAGGTTGAACAGAAGTAGGCTAAATAAAATCAAAGTAAAACAAAACCTACATTTCTTGTAATATTGGGATGTTTCTTGACTTCTCCATGAATATTAATATGCTCAGTCTTCCCATGGAAGAAATTTCAGTTTTCCTTAAATGGGTCCAATCTATGGACAAACAATGTATTTAACTTTTATTTCATTGTACTGTATTGTCGTTTGGTGGGGCGGGAGGGAGGAGTTTTATTTATTTATTTGGTCTTTGGTTTAGCTGGGGGAAAAAAATGAAATTACCCCTGGGGAAAACAGCAGCACATTTTCTGGGCCATTTTTGTCTAAACTTTTTTGTTCTGTTTTTGGGAGCAGAAGAAAAATATTTAAAAGTGTCTGAAATTTGGCCACATCACAGTGTCCTAGGATGTCTGGATTTATAGACTGACTTCTGTGGGGTTGCTGATACAAAGGGTGACTCTGCAGGACTAAAATATCCATTTCTACTGAAAGAAAATCAAAAGATGTTGTAAGACGTCTTCCTTTTTTTGACCAACAGACCAACATTGTTTCCTCTGTCTCATGGTTAGGTTTGTCTAGCTATTCCAAAAAACCAATAATAGAAACCAGGGTTTGAAGTTAGTTAAAGAATGGAAAGAAACCTGATTCTTTCTCTTCTTTAACTAACTTCAAACCCTGTTCAAGAAAGTAAATAGGATGCAGTTTGTATATAAGGATACTATTGAAAATCCCCTCCTGCCTTAGTATCAAAAGGCGATGCTACCATCCTAAATACAGACAGCTGTACAGGCTTAATTTTCACTTTATTTATACATGTTATGCTCCCCCCATCACCAGAGACGACAACCACTTACCGAACACCCCTTTATGGCCAGCCGTCATGGTGGGGAGAAGATGATGCCAATAATAAGTTAGAGTCAACAGATGACAGAAGGCCAGAGGAACAATATACAGGTAAATATACTTTCCATTACCAGTTAACAGATGTTCAGAACATCAGTCTTTGCTTATATTATAATCCCAGGGTGATACATCTGTGTAATCCTCGGATGCTTATTCAGAATCTCAGTACTGTATCAATATGGAAGGTTGATACATTGGTAGTTAATGGGTTATCCTTGTTAAAGGACTCAGGAGACTCGAGTTCAAATCCCCAATGAGATGTGAAATTTACTAAGTGATCTTGAGTCAATCACACTTTCAGCCTGACCTACCTCACAAGTTTCCTGTGCTTGAGGTCACCTCGGGCATCTGAAATACTCGACCACATTCAGCAAACATAACTACGCAGGAACCTGTTATTATTAAAGATTAATATTCACTGACCTGAATTTCCCTTTTAAAAAATCCCCTTTATTTATTTATTTATTTATTCATTTATTTATTTATTTATTTATTTATTTATTTATTTATTTTATTTTATTTTATTTTATTTTATTTTATTTTATTTTATTTTATTTTATTTTATTTATATCCCGCCTATCTGGTCGGTTAAGACCACTCTAGGCGGCTTTAATTAAGCAGGCTACACAATGTCTCCCCCTAGCAAGTAAGCTGGGTAGTCACTTTACCAACCTTAGAAGGCTGGAAGGCTGAGTGAACCTTGAGCCAGCTACCTGGGACTGAACTCAGGTCATGAGCAAAGTTTTGGCTGCAATGCTGCAGTTTAACCACTGCACCAGGAGGCTCCTATGGTGCCTACTTAATTTATATCCTGTCACCCCCACCCATTACCACATTTTTTTTTCTAGAAAGAACAAAAGACATAGCCCAACGTGAAGAAGAAATCAACGGCAACATCACTGGTTACCGAGATTCTCAAGGTGAGGCAGTCTACTCCTTCCGAAGGGAGCCGAGTTACTTTGAAATCCCAACGAAAGAATTCCAGCAGCCGGTGAAATCCCCGGAGACGCAAGTCCATGAGATCCCCACCAAAGATGTTGACACGACAGTGATGCCTGTCGTGCAGAGCCATGCATCGTTTACCATTGAGTTTGACGATTGTACGCCAGGGAAAATCAAGATCAAAGATCATGTCACCAAATTTTCACTCAGGCAGAGGCGAAACCTGGGTAAGGAGGCCAGTCACGTGGAAATGATATCAGCAGAGAACAAAGTGGCCGATTGGTTGGTGCAGAATGACCCAAGTCTCATGCGACGGCAGTCTCCGGGTGATGATGTATACAGCACCAAAAGTGACCTCCCAGTCCATGTGAGGACTCTGAAAGGTAAGATCATATGAATATGTTAATTGCTAGCTGTTGTCTGGGAGATTCGTTTATTACAGTCTGAAAAGAGAGAGAGAGAAGAAAGAAAAGAAGGAAAATTGTGTTGAGGGAAAATTGGTAATTTTTTTTTCTTTTAAATATGATCTTGCTTTAGTTTGCAGAATCGGACCACATTGCAAATTGCATCTTAGAGTCAAACGAGACATCAAGTGGAATTTCTGTTCCCTCTGATTAACACCTATTTCCTCTAACAATGGGATTTCCTGAGATATACTTTAGCAATCTGACTTGCATATATTACGTTTGAGCTTACTTTTCATGACCGATTGCAAAACAAAGCACACTGAATGTGAGATAGAGGTGAGGAAGAGTATGTGCTATGCCAAACGTATGTCTTTCACCACTTGAGGGAAGACTGCTTCTAAATATGTGTTAAATGTATTGTCTCGTGTGACACCAAACTCTCTGAGTGTGGCCCTCATATTTAAAGGAGCTTGACCTTCTATTAGTTAGCCTACCTCCTTGATTCCTGTAGACTTCCAAATAAGCCCAACCAAGGAGAATTGGAGCCACTGTTTAAATGGCAGATAACACCTGGGGGTATCAATCTGCAAGGGTGTGGGCAGGTTTATAGGGTTCTGTGGCTCCTGGCAAATGATTTTAACTTGAAGATGCAGAAAGCTACCAGTTCCACGAACCTCAGAAAGGCCTTTGGTGGGTCTGAACAATCTTCTTTGCCACCAGTTTTCCTGGATGAGCATGCGTGCCTGGGAGGGAAGACACTATTTAAAACAGGTATTTTGCTCTTCTGCTATAGGTTTGTTGGGAAAAGAATCAAGACTCGGAAGCTTAAAAACCCCCAGAGTTAGCAGAATCAGAGGGGAAAAATATTTCAAGTTGTCTTCCCATATGTTCCTGCTTGGGTTTTAAGGTCTTTGTACAGTGGTGCCCCGCATAGCGACGATAATCCGTGCAGCTAAAATCGTCGCTATACAGATTCGTCGCTATGTGGAATAAAAAATATCATAGGAATGCATTAAAACCCGTTTAATGCGTTCCTACGGGCAAAAAGATTACCTTTATGCAAAAATCCTCCATGCGGCCGCCATTTTTGCGAGGAATGGGCGTGAAAACACAGCAGGTGGCCATTTTTTTTACCCAGCGGCTATTTTGGAACCGCCGATCAGCTGTTGGGAAAACATCATTATGTGAAAATCGGTAAGCGAAAGAGCTTACTGATCATCTCAAAGCGATATTTTCCCATTAGAAAAATCGTTATGCGATCGCAAAAACGATCACAATAACATCGTTATGCAATAGCAAAAACGATCGCAAAAAATCGTCGCTATGCAGATTCGTCGTTAAACGAGGCGCCCGTTAAGCGAGGCACCACTGTACAAGCTTTTTCTCTTTTTTGGGGTATCCCTTGTCTACATGTTTGGTGAGCATGGAAGAAAGCAATTTTGGTAGTTGCTCCCACATTGCAGAAGTCTCTTCTGAAAGAGAAGTTCTCCTGTTAGTTGGAAAGGGCCCTTTTATCCAGGTACGCTCTTAGGAACTGACTGTTAGGGAACAGACTTCTTCCTCCAATGTGCTTTTAAAATGTGTTAAATTTTGTTGCTTTAGTATGGTGATAAATTTGATATTTGCTTAACATTACAACTTAATTGTGTCTTTAGTTGTATCTTTCATACACATGCACATACACATACTAATGTATATGAGGGTTGGTTGATTACCTGGCACATAGAAAGTGCACTCTGCTCTGGGACCACCCTCATTGTGCACTGATTTCACAGGCAACAGGCATGAAGATGGAACACAAAGTGATTCAGAAGACCCTGTAGCACCCAAACCAGAGAAGGAGATACCTGTCAATGACCATGTCACCGAGCAAGCTAGACTCCAGCGCCAAATCCGCCGGGACCCCCAGGAACTTCTCCATAACCAGCAGGCTTTCGTCATCGAGTTCTTTGATGACGACACTCCTCGGAAGAAGAGGTCACAGTCTTTCACGCACAGTGGTCACTCTATTCAGAATGACGTGGATCCAGCCATGAAGACCAGGGTGGATAAACGCAAGGTGACCGTACCTGCTGAGAAACCAGGGAGCTGTCTACCATCACCGCACCTGCCTCCTGTTGGAACCAAAGGGCCAAGCAACTCTTTCAGCACTCCAAGGGCTGGTTCTTTTAAGAGGGAGAAGACAGAGGACCGGATGAGTTCTTCTTCATCATCTACATCAAGGACATCTGTCAAAAACCATGGTAGTGTTGGGAGAAAGTCCAAACTTTCTCAGGATTTTGCCGCAGAGTTAAGGGAAAGCGCGCAAGCTGCAAAAACCAACGCGGAGAAGCCGCCATCATTTCCAGCACCGCTCACCCCACGAGTAGTCGGGGAACCATCATCAGTACCTGAAACAATTCCTGTGCCGGCTGTGGATCCAGCATTGATTAAAGCTAGGAAGCATGAGGAGGAGGACAGTTTGAGTGAAACGGGCACATACACCATTGAGACAGAGTCACAAGATAAAGAAGTAGAAGAAGCTCGGAAGATGATTGATCAGGTAAAGTCATAATTTTAAGACACACAGAACTTTCTGTGTTTTTCTCCCCTGATCATGGACCTGACTGTAGCATTGATGAAGACTTGAGTGAGCGATATGTAGTTGGACTATGTCTCTCTGCATTTTGCTGACTAGAGCTATCATTGACCAACAGCTGGAAGGCTGTTCTTTGCCCATCCTTGATGGAGAGACAAGAAAGTCCTGATTTCTAAAGCAGGGGTGGACAATGACACCAGCGCCAAGGGCCTCACTTTTCAGATTTGGTGTCACCCTAACAACAAATGATGACCATGTTCTCGAGAGGATGGGCCATAGATACTAATTTGAATATACACATTTTAAATCATTTTACACTTGTTTTTAATGAAGTGATTGTGTTCTGTCAGGGTCATGGCAATGGGATTTTACTAACTAAAAATACATTTGTGGGGAAAAACTTTTGCTAAATAAAAAAAAAACCCATTATGCCATTATATATATATTAATTTATATATATAAATTAAAACATTTTGGGCAACCAAATACATAAACAGGTCCTTCACAGCTGATTACTTCTTGGTTGGAGAGAGAGGGTATCAGTGTTGTTGTTCTGACTCATATACCTTCTTGTAGTACTAAAGAACTCTCTGTGTGGTTTACAACATAATTATGCAGGCTACACATCCCCCCCCCCCACCGCCCGCATTGAGCTGGGTACTCAGTTTACTACCCTCGGAAGAATGGAAGGCTGAGTCAGCCTTGAACTGATTACCTGAGCCCGGGATCAAACTCAGCTCATGATCAGAGTCTCAACTGCAGTACTGCTGTTTGACTGCTGAGCCAAATACTTCTTTCAAAATCTTGACATGAGAGAATGAAAGATTGTCTTTGGGATAGCTACTTCTGGCATGCTGTGGGAATGTACTAAAGATCCCCAAAAGATAGTCTGGCCGACATATTATCAATATGGGCTGAAATTCTGCTGTTCAGCATAGTGAGTTGGTGAATCAGCTGCTCTGTAAGTCCCATTTATCCAAATGGGCCTACTCTAGTGGTGAACTCACTTTAGTGTCGTAAGTCACAACTAGAGAAGGGCCATATGAATCAACTAAACTTTTGGAGAAGTTAACTCACCAAATCCCTGCTGATTCCATGTCTACTCTAGGGTGACTTACTACACCAAACAACAGGATTTTAGCCATGATGAGTCTGTGGATAGGGAATTTATTGTTTTCTTTTTCGCTTCATCGCTGCTATCTTGTTTTTTTTTTTTTAAGGTTTTTGGTGTGTTGGAGTCTCCTGAATTTTCCAGAAATTCTCCAGCCTACAGGCCTGTTATAAAAGGCGAAAAGGATGAACTGGGGTCCCATCATTTGATCAGAGAGAATGGCTCAAGTCCGAAGATGACCATGATGCAGGTCATCGCTTCCAAAGTGGCCAGTGGGCATCATTCAGACATGCAGGTACACATGAAGGATAGCTTTCTTTTTCAAAGCGGCGAATGAGACTTTGGCAATAACAATCAGTGGTTACTATAAAGTGTTTTCGGGAGAAAAAAATCACTTCTCAATAAATAATATTGCATTTCTATATTACTGTAGCTGTCGAATGACACTCTAAAACCTGTTAACACTCCCAAGGTTGGCTGATAACAGCAATTTCCAGAGAGTAGGGAGATGGTCTTTGTTGCTCCTTACTTGCCCTTAGTATGTAAAAATAAGTGAACGTGATAGCGGCTTAATTTTTTTATCTGAGAGAGAAAAGGGTTCACAGCCTGCCTGTATTTCTCCCACCATGTAAACCTTGAAGCTACAGTCCTGTGTTTGGAGCCCTGAAAAGACTAGTGTTATTTGGCATATGCTTTTGTGCATTGTGATCTGCTTCTTCAGATGTTCAGCAGATTCCGTGAGAGTTTAATCCAAAGAAAACGTGTTATTCTTAAAGGGGGCCTCTGCTGATTTTGCTGCTGCAGACTACAGCAATGGTAGGCGAGATCAGGGAGTTTGGGGTTCAAATTTATGTCCCTTTGTGTTCTGCACAAAGCATGGGAATTGTTCATAGCTCTCTCTCTCTCTCTCTCTCTCTCTCTTTTTGGTGGGAAGAAGTATTTGAGGAAATGCCTGGATGGAGTCTTCTAGGTTTGGGGGGGATCCTCTCCTTAGGCCCTGCTGTAAAAGACAACGCTTCGAGGACCAAAAATTGAACCGTTTTTATTTTATTTAAATTTTGCCCCTAGAGGTCTCCTGGGAGGTTTGTGCTGTCAAGTTACTACTGACTTAGGGATGACTCTTTTCAAGGTTTTCTAGGTTGAGAGTACTCAGAAGTAGCTTACAATTCCCTGGGACTGTGCAGCTTGCCCAAAGCCACACAGGCTGGGATGAACAGTGGAGAATTTAATTCTCAGCCTTTGGCTCCACAGTCAGATACCCAACTGCTGACCCAATCTCTTGGGAGATTATTGGGGCAGAACGCCTGTTGGGAGAGGGGAGCTGAATGTTGCATATTTTGCCACCAATTAGACTACAGATTAAGTGTGAAGGCAAGAGGAGAAGGGGACGACAGAAGACGAGATGGCTGGACAGTGTCATCGAAGCAACCAACATGACTTCGACCCAACTCCGGGAGGCAGTGGAAGACAGGAGGGCCTGGCGTGCTCTGGTACATGGGGTCACGCAGAGTCGGACACGACTTAACGACTAAACAACAACAACAGACTACAGATTGGAGTTGCTACTCCTCTGAAAATCTTATAACCACTCACATAAGAATACTTTGGAACTCAATGCAGCTAAATTCTGAAGAGCCACGTAAAAGATTGCATCACATATAGAATTTGGACTCAATCCAGCCAGTTCAGTGCTCCAAACTGTCAATGGAAGAGATTTCAACTATATTGCATTAGGATAAACAGGCTTAGATTAAAAACAAACCCACAAAACTTCTAGAAGTATTTTCTAACCACAGTGAAATTCCCAGTATTTGACGAGGTATGAAAATGCCACACAATCATAGGAATGTTTGTGTGCAAAATCACACACACACACACCTGGAATCAGAAGAACAAAAGATGAATTAAAAATTAAATAGAATTCAGATAAATAAAATACCAACACCACCGCCGCCATGATGTGCTGTCAAGTCAGTTCTGACTTACGGCAACCCTTTTCAGGGTGTTCCAGGTAGAGAATACTCAGAAGTGGTTTCCCATTCCCTGAGACTGTGCAGCTTGCCCAAGGCCACACAGGCTGGCTCTTCCTCCAGTGAACTCAAGGTGTCATACCTGCCCTTCCTCCCTAATTTATCCTTACAGCAACCCTGTGGGGTAAGTGAGCCTTAAGAGACAGTGGCTGGCCTGTGGCCACCCAGTCTGTTTCATGGATCAGTGGGGACAAGAACCATGATCTAGTGGAGCCAGGTCTCACAAGGTTAAAGTCCTCAGCAAGGTGATGACTGGCATCACTCATCACCTCTAGCAGATTTCCTTGATACATTTGAACTTGGCTACAATCTTCCCAGAAGCTGTGTAAGAAATAAACTTCAAAGTCAGACTGGTCCAAGGTCACCCAGTGAGTTTCATGGCCAAGTGGGGATTTGAACCCTGACCGCCTGAGTCCTAGTCCAACTTTTAACTGCTACACTGGTTGACCACACAGTGTCGTAATTGTGTTCATTTACAGGGGAGTACTGGAAACTGTACTTTGGAAGAGACGTGTACAGGATTATGGTGTTAGTCTGTGGTCCTGCACTCACTTGGGAATAACAGCAAAATTCCATGCATGTCTAGTCAAAAGTAAGCCCCACTGAATTCTAGTAGGCTTACTGTTCTCAGAGAAGTGTGCATAGCATTGCAACGTAAGCCCCACTGAATTCAATGGGCTTACTTCACAATAGGCCCTGGTTGGAGAAACTGTGGGCAGTGACAGAGTGTGCTTGATTCCTTTATCACCTGACTTGTGGTGACATAGTAAGATTCTTGATTCCTGCTGCCTATTCCTATGGGATTACCAAATTACAATATTTTGAAATGTTTCGTCTTTTTCCCCCCCTGTAAGAGGGGAATGGTAAATTACTGTTGAGTATTCTCTACATAGAAAACCCTGAAAAGAGTCACCAAGTCTGAACTGACTTGATGGGCCCCTGGTTATTATTAAGCATCCCTGCATATAATTATCTTACATATAAAAAAGCCATCTACCATACTGAAAACCAAGTAGAGCTGTCTTCAACATGAAACAGAATAGGTGCCACATAAATATTACCGCAGAAGAATATGAAAGGGAATCCGTTTTCCCGTTTGTCTTAAATATTTTTGAGATTGTTTTAAAGGTAAAGGTAAAGGTTCCCTGTTTGTCTTAAATATTTTTTTGAGATTGTTTTAAAGGTAAAGGTTCCCCTTGACAATTTTTTGTCCAGTCGTGTTCGACTCTAGGGGGCGGTGCTCATCCCTGTTTCCAAGCCATAGAGCCAGCGTTTTTTGTCCGAAGACAATCTTCCGTGGTCACATGGCCAGTGCGACTTAGACACGGAACGCTGTTACCTTCCCACCAAGGTGGTCCCTATTTATCTACTAGCATTTACATGCTTTCGAACTGCTAAGTTGGCAGGACCTGGGACAAGTGACGGGAGCTCACTCTGTTGCGTGGATTCGATCTTACGACTGCTGGTCTTCTGACCCTGCAGCACAGGCTTCTGCGGTTTAGCCGGCAGCCCCACCACGTCCCTACAGAGATTGTTTTAGCTAGTCACAACTATTGCTTATGCAGTTCACTAATACAAATAGTTTTATGCTTTAGTGATTGTTTTAGTTAGTCACAACTATTGCTTATGCAGCTCACTAATACAAATAGTTTTATGCTTTAGTTGTCACACTTACAAGTTGAATCATGCAGTGTTTATATGCTGCCATGTTAGCACAGAGTAATATAGTTTTTTTTTCCTCTACAGAGGGGTAGCTGTTTTAATCTGTTGCACTAAAAACAACAAAGAGCCCTGCGACACCTTGAAGATGAACAATATATATTTTCCATCACTTTCATGGACTGTAACCCACTTCTTCAGATGCATCAGATCCTTGAAAGATGAGCATACATAGGAGAGGGCAGGATCTGTCCTTGATCATCCCAGAGTGCAGGACATGTAATAATGGGCTTAAATTTTAAAGTGGAAGCCAGATTTCAGCTGAATATCAAGAACAACGTCCTAATTGTTTAGAGCAGTATGACAATGGAACCAATGTAATTGTTTAAATGGAACCAATTACTTAAAGAGATGGTGAGCTTTCTGATACTGGAGGCATTCTAGAGAAAATTAGACGACTATCTGCCAAATATACTTTGATTTGGATTCCTGCACTGAGCAAGGGCTTGGATCTGATGGACTTACGGGCCCTTTCCAACTCAATTATTCTGTGGTTCTATGATCCGATGAAGTGGGATGCAGTCCATCATAGTTTATAGTGAAAGATAATTCATCATCTCTCTCTCCACTTTGTTCTGGAAATCTAGGCATGGAAATGATGCTACTAAGAGTGAAATGCCCAAAGGTTTGCACGTTATGATGGGGCAGAGCTTGAAAATACTTTTGGGGACCACGGCAGTCTAATCTTGAGTTTAGACTGCTGTATTTTGCTCTACGTGGGGCTACCTTTGAGATTGATGCAAAAGCTTCATGGTGCAGAATGTGGTGTCCAGACTTCTCACTAGGGTGAGAAAACATCAGCATATCTCCCCCACTCTGGCCACCCTAAATTGGCTGCCCATTCATTTCCGCATTGATTTCAAAGTATTAATGATGACATACAAAGCCCTAAACAGTTTAGGGCCTCAATATCTAGCAGAATGCCTTCTCCTATCTAGATCTTCCTGAATCACCCGTTCTAGCCAGGAAGGTCGGCTGAGGGGTCTAACACTGAGGGAGGCTCAAAGAGAAAGAACAAGAAACCGAGCCTTCTTGGCGGTGGCCCCCTGCCTCTGGAACAGTCTCCCTTCAGAAATTTGTCTGGCTCCCTCGCTAGGTGCTTTTAAGAGCAAATTTAAGACCTGGCTCTTTAGGCAGGCCTTCTCTTCAATCATAACCTAATCTATTTCTTGCTGTCTTGAATTATATTAATATTGTTATTTTATTTTATATTGTTATTACTTTATGGATTGTTGTACCTGCCCAGAGTAGACTTTGATCTAGATGGGCGGGGTATAAGTTAAATAAATAAATGAATAAAAGAAAGTTCAAGCAATTATGAGTGCTGGCTCTGGTGGCTGGCAGATTCGAGGGCTTGTGGTCCAGGAAAGCCAAGCCATATGATGTAAGGTTGATGAGAACACTGCTCTAACAACATGGGGTTTTGTCTCCATTCCCTCTGCAGCTACCGCCTGCTTCTCATGGAAGTCAAAAGTGGGTGTCGAGATGGGCAAGCCTTGCCGATACCTATACTGACTCAGGGTCTGCTCCTGGCACTGGTGATGCCCATCAGCAAGCTCCTGTCTCTCAGGCTGGCACAGGTAATCACAGTGTTCAGCGTCCTTCTGACACTGCTAAAATATTTTCCATTTTTTAAAAAAAAGGCATTGTGCTCCCTTGGTATCAGTTATTCCAGATCAGTTTGTTTATTGCATTTATAGTCTGCCTCTTCTTCCAGTGAGCTAAAGGCAGCATGTGTGGCTTTTTCCCTCCCCAATTTCTCTTCACATAAATCCTGGGAGTTAGGTCAGACCAGGAGAGTGTGATAGGTCAGGGCCAGTCAGTGAATTTCAAGGCCAAGTGAGGATTTGAACCCACGTCCTAGTCCAAGACTCTTGATTGCTATATCACACTGCCTTTAAAAAAGTGATGTGTAAATTATTTCCGTAGATGTCCAATATTACCTTTGCACCATTTCTAAATCGCTCCAGATTCAGTGCATGCAAATAGTTTGAATGTTAACATTGGAAATCAAAGGAATCATTCAGGTTATAAAATTTCTACACAGGTATTGATTCTAATCTGGTTAGGTTACTTTCTTGTAGAAAAATGTAACATGTAGCACATCTCCTAAGGCTTTAATTAAGTATATCTTACAATGCATTGCAGCAGTCATTCCGTACATGGGCATCGTATTTTACTGAGTTTAATGAATGTTTTATTTAAAATTCTCAGAGAAGGAGACCAGTGCAAGAGTGGGAGAGTCAGAAGCTGCTGTCGCCTTACGGACGAGGCGACTTCTTCCACAGCTCCCTCCAGGTGACAAATCTGAAAGCCCAACACCCACCATCTTAATTTGTCATGAGCCCTATCCTGAGGTCTTGCCAAGGAATGCTGCTCATGACCTCACCGCGGAAACGTGCGGAGACCCTACCGACCGACTGCTTATTCAGGAGGATTTGGATCCTGACAGTCTTAGCGATGCAAGCAGATCTGACGACGGCTTTGGATTGGAGAAAGGCAGGAAAAGCCAAAATGGCACCAAGCGGATGGAACAGGAGCAGGAAAAGCCTGAAAATACGAAATCCAAAGGCCGACAGCAAGCTGTGCCAAAGCTTTCCTGCCTAAGAGCATCAAGTGATCCATTGTCAACATCTTTTTATATTGGTGATGAGGAAGAGGAGGGGGTTCCTTCAAAGATTCCACCGAATGCCCCTCGAACGGAGAGAGATGAGGCGCCTTTTAAATGTGGAAAGCCAGCGCCCAGAGGTCTTAGCAATACCTATATTAGCTCAAATGGGAAAATGGTCCTCTCCTTACATCAGGGTCTCCCTCTATCAGAACAGGAACCTGTCAGTTCAAAAGAAGTGTCTTCCTTTGTTCGACAGGAAAGCTTTACCAAAGAGAAATCGAGCAGCAGCGTTCCTCATAACAGGTTACCGCATATCTCAAGTCACCCTCTGTTGAAAGATCTGGATGTTGCACGAGCAAGTCGTATGGACTTCAATCAGGACACCCACCTTCTCCTTAAAGACACGGAAACTGCTTTGGCAGCTCTGGAAGCCAAAATCCTCTGCCAAACACAACAGCCCGATGCTCCGGAGACCCCTGTCGGCCCGTTAGAGGACTCCTTATCAGGAGAGTCTGACGTGGACACCTCCAGCACCGTCAGCTTGTTGAGTGGCAAAAACCTTCCCGCCCACCCGCCCAAGCGTAAAGCTGCGGCCGCTTTGCAGAAAGAGAAGTCTAATTCTGCCCCATCCGTCCAAGACCACGGAGCTCCGCCGAGCGCACGGGAAAGGCTTTCTGAGAAACGGAAAACTCTCCCCCCTGAGTCTGGGAACAAAAGTGAAAATGTGAAGCGTTTCCAAGTGAAACGCAACATGGGGGCGAGCGGGTCTCTAGAGGGCACCGATGACGAGCGAAGTGGTAGCCTCCCCTGTTCGCCAGCGACAGAAGTCGCTTCCTCTGACCAAGAACAGACCAACCCATCCAGGCCTCTCTCCAGAAAGAAGCCCTTCTCGCAGTCCACCAAAGAAGAACAGAGCAAAGTGACGCCAACGGCGCAAAAGATTCAACAAGTCCTCACGAGGTCCAATAGTTTATCCACCCCAAGGCCCACAAGAGCCTCAAAACTTCGCCGTGCCCGGTTGGGAGACACCTCAGATAATGAGAGTGCTGATACCGAGAAAACGGCGTCTCATCCTGAGGGAACAGCTGCCCCTTCCAAGCAACCTGTGGAGACCAAGAAACTGTCCAGACTCGACATCCTTGCCATGCCAAGGAAGCGGGCAGGATCTTTCACGGTACCAAGTGACTCCGAAAGCACGCCACCTAGGCCAACGTTCTCTGGGCGTAGTGCGGAGTCTTATTATTCCACCCGAAAGCCACCGGTTTCAGAAGCTAGAACGGCTGCTAGGAAGACAGCGGCAGTAGCTGCTTCAAAACAGCCTTTGATCAGGACACGTTCAAGCAGTGTCAAATACTCTTCTGCTTCCAGTGAGTAACTGTGCGTGTACCTTAATGTAATCTGCTTATAATGGGCCTTTTTGAAAGATTCCAAGCTGAGTAAGCAAGTAATCTGGAGATGAATCTATAATCTCTTGTAAAAGATTCAGAATCCCCATAAGTCGTTCATAAAAAGTTCTGGATTTATTGAACCGGAAGAGAATTCTCCTTTTCTACGCTTCACATCTCACAGAGAATATTAGCTGTTACGTAGCTTTTTCATTTATGGCTCTCTCCCTACCATGTCAAAATCCCCATTATATACCGCCTTTCACCTAACAATGTTAACGTCACCAAGTGGATAAATGGTAGGGAAAGAGTGCTAGATGAAAGGGATTGTTAATTTGACCTTCTCCTGTTTTGATTTCCTTCATGAATTTTGAATGAGTGATAGCTTCTCAAAGTGAGCTTGCCTGGTCACCTATGACGAACAAGGATCTTGTTCAGGCAATCAGGCAGGGATTTGTTACACAGGAGAATAGTTAAATTTGCAGACTGCAATGTGCTATAAAAACATGGATCAGGCGTGCAAAAATGTTTGTGAACTAGCAATTTTAAGGACATAATTTGTAAGACTGTTGGGATTTCTCTCCTTAGGAAAAGGTGGGACAACAGGTGAGCTGTATGTGGCTCTCGCGCATATTTCTGTAGCCCCTGGAGGAGATTCCTCTCTCCACCAACCTGGAAGAAATCTTTTTTTAAAACAAGGGAATCCCTGAAGCCTATAGGATGCCCAATTCACCTTTGAGAGTTCTTCTCTTTTCTTTTTGACCCCAGGAGTGGATTTCTGGTCACTTCTGGTTTTGTTGGGAGGGAGGAGTAGGGGTGCTCTGTGGTAGATCTTGGGGAGCCAATTGGCCCCCATATCGAATGAAGCCTGCCCACTCCTGGCCTACAGTTATGTCCTTTTGGGACAAATTTTGTGTATGTGTCTAAGGATAGAACGTGGGCTGATGTGACTCCTCAGAATGACACAAGCAAGCACCAGAAGCCTATAGTCACTCTGTGTTAATCTCCCCACTCTTCTGAAAGGAACACAGAGGAAATTGTGCACAGAGGTATTTGTTGCACAATGTATATATGAGCAACAGATGTTGATCTAAAAGCAAGGGATGGGGAATTTCTGGGGACGGAAAATCATATTGTCTCCCCTGAAATCACTTCATGCTATTCCTTACTCTGCGACTGCAAAGCTAAATTTGCTAGGCAAGGTATGCCCCAATTTCTCTTTAAAGTCAGATATGCAGGCAGGGCATGCATTCTTTTAAAGCAGTGGTTCCCAGCTTTGAGTCAACCAGATGTTCTTTGGCTGCAACTCTCAGAAGCCCTTGGCCAGCGGCGAAAGCTCCTGGGAGTTGCGATCCAAGAATGTCCAAAGACCCAAGGCTGGGAACCACTGTTTCGAAGAGTTGTAGGTGGGGTTTTTTGGCCACATCTCTATCAGCAAATCTTGAAGCAGAGGTGTGAAGAGCACTAGCCAAGGCTGGGCAGCCCATAAGGTGTCCAGGGATGTGAGGTCCTGGAGCACCTCATGGACTGCCCAGCCCTGGTCTAGGAGTAGACCTCTTGCTACATTGTAGTCCAGGGAACTAGCTAATCGCTGTACATCTGGCCTATGCACAAACTGAGTTTGTAGGAAGTTTCTGTGCCCTGATACATTGCCTTGAAGAACAGCTCAGGGGGTGCCATGCTTCTTAATGCTGATCAGCCATGGCTTCATGATGGATGATGGTTAAGATGCAGAGAGCACTGGCTATAAAATATGCAGAGGGCACTGGCTGTTCGTGTTGCCATACAAATAATTATAAAATTATGCTTCTTAAAGCTGGTCAGCCATGGCTTCATGATGGATGATGGCAAAGATGCCTTCTACTCAGGTGATTTAAAATATGCAGAAGGCACTGGCTATTCGTGTTGCCATACAAATAATTATAAAATGGGTCAGGGGTGCTCATAACAAAGCAGTACAGATCTCCGTTGGTGGAATTGTCATAAGGTATGCAATGGGACCCTCTGGTTTTTCATTGGGCGACGTTGCTGAGTTTCATTTGTCATGAGGCACCTCAAACTTAATGCATTCCTTGATTCAAATGAATTGGTTTTGCCTTCCACTGCTTTGCAGCAACAACTAACCGGTTTTGGTGGAGAATTAACACTGGGTATCCTTACTGTACAGTACATGATTAACATTACTAACATCACTTTTTTCCTTTTTAGAGGCGGGCTGTGACCTTGCACTTATTCTATATAGACAGTGCTTTGTAGAAAGGCAGATGGTGGCTTAGCTCTCAGCCTGGAAGTCGCAAGAACGTCTTTGCTCTTGTGACTATAAGGATAATAGCAAAAAGAAAGGAAAAGGTATTACAGATCAGTTTAAACACAACCCTATTGCTGTCAACAGTATCTGATAACACTCCTTGGAATTGCTTTGTTCTAATCAAAACACAACAGCTTTGATGCCAAAGCTGGAAAAGCTTCTTTTTCAGCCTGGGGACAAATGTTCCAGGGGAAGGCAAATAATAGTTTCTGCCTTTAATTAGCTGTAACCACCAGGGAGATCTGCTGTAGGGAACAGTGGCTATTGCTCATTTACTCTGCAGCAAAATGGACCACGTGAGTGCTGGAGGGCAAAGCTGGAGATTTCCAGGAAAACAATGATGGTCATCTGTCCATGAATATATTTCAGACCACCACCCAGTGGTGTTGCCTTTCTGACTGACATTCTCTTTTTCCCCCCCTTCAAGTGAGCTTGTTTACACAGTCACTAATCCTGAGGTAATGAACTCCCAGTCCTTTGTTAACTGGTCCAAATGGGCGGGTGAATTCAGTAAGGAAATGGCCCTTGGATAATTAAGACTCTCCGCTTACCACTGTTTTATCTTTAGGTGAATAATAACAGTAATTTAGTTTGGTTGTCAACTGGGTGTCTGGGATGGTGTTTAGTTGTAGCTGTATGTAAGGGTCTTTTCGCATGTCAGAAGTCCCCAGCTGCTATTTCTGACATCAGATAGGGCTAGAAAATCTCTGAATTCTGAAACCCTAGAGAACGATGGCCTTGTTGCTGTAGGCCAGCCTTCTCCAGCCTTGGTGGTTTCTAAATGTTTTGGAGATCTTCACCTCTAGAAACAGAACCAGCATGTCTCTGTATATCAGCGGCTGGGGAATAAAGAAAGAAGGTGCAGCTGTAGTTACCTCCAGAGTATGGGCTTCCCATTGCCTACTGTTTGGCCGCTGTGAGAACAGAATAGCTTGGGCCCAATCCACCATGGTTCTTCTTTTGTTCATATAGACTAGAAGTCTCACCACTCCTGATCATTGGCCATGCTGGTTGGGGTTGATGGCAATTGGCATCCAAAGTTTCTGAAAGGCTGGTGGCGACTGTACTCTTGTTTTGATGGACCACTGGTTTGATTTGATACACAGCGGCTTGCTGTGGGTTTTCTACAACATAAACTATCAAAGCCTGAATTATTATATTATGCTTCCCAGCAAGTGAAAAAGTATGTGGGGAATTAAAATATGCCACTTCAAACTTTTGAAGTCCCATCTTCTAATTTTGCTGGGTTTCTGAACCCCACAATCCATTAGCAGCCATCTCTATGGAAGGCATAGAGTGGCATACAAATCTACTCAACAGCTGTGAACATTACCATGTGTTGCTGTAGGTGTGTAGATATGTGGACCTCTAGAAGCAAAAATGATAAACTGAAGCTGTCCTACTTTGGGCGCATCACGAGAAGGCAAGATTCATTGGAAAAGACTTGGAACAGCACAAGGCAGCAGGGAAAGAGGAAGACCAAATATGAGACGGATTCCCTCAGTAAAGGAAGCCATGACCCAGAGTTTGGTATTAACATAATTCAGGGGTCTTAGGAGCAAAGTCACCATAAGTCAGAGGCACTATATGGCACCTAACAATGTTAACGTCAGAGTGGTTTGGGGGAATTAATGCTACCACTAGAAGAAGCGCAAACCTGCCTTGCCGAGAAATGAGGTTTGTTCATACGATGCATAATTCATGTAGGGAACTCCTTATCACGGGATGTGGCACATAGTGATTTTAAAAGTGGATGTGTACATTCAACAACAGGATGATAGCCACAGAATACCTCCTTCTTCAGATTTAATATGCCACAGAAAACCAGCTGCTAGGGAACAACAGAGACTGGGAGCTGCTGAATTTGTGTTCTCTTTCTGAGTTTCCTAAGGGCCTCTGTGTGGCCAGAGGGGGGAAGTTGTCCATTGTTGGGAAATGATGGAGCTTTATTCTTATCTAAGAGGGTTCTTCTTGAGCTCCTCAAAACTGCTCTGGCCCAAAGCGGCTTCCTAGCATTTAGCTCCCTGTTGTTTCCACAGATAGTATATGGTTTAAAAGCAAAACCCTTATGCCATCTAGTGGCCAAATATATATATTTTAATTAAAACAATTTGTGCCATCAAAAACATGGATAGGTTCTTCCCAGCTGATTATTGCTTGGTCAGGAAGGGAGGGCAACAGTGTTATTGTTTTTTTTAAAACTTATTTACTGCCCTATAATGCTAAAGCACTCTCTGGGTGGTTTACAAATGAATTATGCAGGGTACACATTTCCCCCCTCTCCCACCTGTGAGCTGGGTACTCAGTTTTCCAACCTCAGAAGGATGGAACAATGAGTGAACCTCGAGACAGTTAACTGGGATCGAACTCAGGTTGCGAGCAGTGTTTTGGCTGCAGCATTCCAGTTTAACCACTGGGCCACAAGGTGCAGTTGTAGGCCTCTGCTGTGAGAAAAAAGTGCAGATGCCATCGCCCATGCTGACTGATGGATTGTGAAAGCTATAGTCTTACACACACACACACACACACACACACACACACACACACGAAGCATCTCTGCCCCTGCTCACCTCTACTACCAAATTTCTTACCACATTCTCAGGGGTCTGCCGTAAAGTTTGAGAACCACAAGAATTAGACTGGCTAAAATGCTTCTCTGGTGTTGCTGAGTGTGTAAACAAGCTGCCTATTTTTGCTGTCCTTCCCCTCTCAAAGGTCCTTCACTTTGGTTTGGAACTGAACCCATTGGAAAGTTCGGGGGGAAAAGAACACCTGGAACTTTAATCTACTTCATTGTCTTCTCTGGGGCCTTCTGTGCATGTCAAAATCTGGGCAAATTTGCAAATTCCAGGAATATGGAAGCTGCTTCCAATAGGAATTAACATGAGATTTAGTGTGGTACCTTTCACATCAGAGTGTCATAAATGATGTAAGCCATAGTCAGCAAATTGTATTTATTTTGTCACCAGAAGAATAAAAATCCATTAATCTTATAGGTTATGACTAGTTAAACTGTGGTAAGAGAGCACATATACATGACTGGTTTACCATACATTTCATCACACCGCTGCACCAGATCTGTGGTACAATTCTCCTTAGTACCTGACAGGATAACACAGGTAGCCCACAAAATGTCTGAATGTCTACAGTATTTCTCCTCATGACTGTTGCTCGCTTATCTGTATCTTCCTAACCTTATTTGTGCTTCAGCGCTGTGGGACTTGCCACCAACATCATGTGACCACGATAGTCTCTTTGACACCTCTGGGAGGAAATTGTGGCTCTCCAGTGTTGGATTGTAGTGCTCGTGGCTCTTCCCCATTGGCTCTGGCCCTTGGGTGATGGGAAGTGCAGTCCAGTAACAGCAACATCTGGAGGATCACAACTCTCTACCTCTACCATGCATTTAAGGTCCTAGGAGAAAATATGAAGCACAAGGCAACTGTATAGATTTAAGCTCTGCAGTTAGATAGCTGCCTTACACCGAGTCAGGCACTAGGTCTCTATCCACCCTTGTGTTACTGACACTTACCGACAGCGACTCTTCAGAGGTTCAGGCAGGAGTTTTTTCAGCCCTACCTGGATGGATGACTGCATCGTTCAGTGCGTTGGCTACCTGACGGCAGAGCTGGAGGTAGAGAGTTTGATCCCCCACTGTGCATATAGGAGAAGAGCCAAACTGTGTAGCCTTATATAGCCCAGGGTTGTCCCCAGAAGGAGGGATGGTAAACTGCTTCTCAGTACTCTATACCTACAAAACCCTGGAAAGGTTCACCGTAAGTTGAAATTAGAGATGAGCATGAACCAGGATACCAGTGGTTTATGATGGTTTATTGTTACTCATGAACCATGAACGATCATAAATCCCCTGAAAAATGAACTGGTTCGCAGTTTGTTTTTTGGGGTTCATGTGGGAGGGGGAAACCCCTGCCACAGCCCCTGTCGCCTCCCTGCCTTCTTTTGAAGCCGCCACCGCCATAATCATCCTGACAGGCAGTACGCTTGTTTCCTTCCAGGAACCATGAGCCAGCCTAGTTCATATTTTGTTCTGGTTCTTGGTTTGGTTCATGCCCATCTCTATTTGAAATTGATTTGGCAGCACTTAATCAATCAATCAATCAATTGATTGCCTGGATATTTGTGAGTTTTTTGTGTTCGAAGAAGAGGTGATTCAACTAAGCGGTGGCCCCTCCCATGATCAGGCTGTTCAGGGGGACGGGATTGGGTAGACAGATAATCCTTTATCTTGGAAAAGGGACTCGGTCCTACTCAGCCAGTCCAACCCATTTTAAGTGTGCAGAAGTGTGATCGAATATGTGGTGATGTGGAAGCATCTCTTTCCATCTTCCGTTGAAACACAAATAGTTTTAATTTTTATTTGTCCACAATTATTTCCAGTTGAATGGTGTGCACAGAAGTTTTCTTGCTCCCTCCTCATTTTCTTGGGCTGTTTTGTATTAGTTCCATTTTTCCCACCCCACCTTTCAAAACCTGGTCTGAAAGTCCTTTCCCTGCTTTTTCTTCTTCCAATTCTAAAACCAATTCATTTTTCGTAAGCTTCACGGCGGCGACAGCAGGGCTCAGATTATACTTCCACTTCCGAGGAGGAGTACGGCTCAAATCACAGCTCTCCTAAACACAAACGCTCCCATACTTCAACAGCCACCCAGACCCCGAGGACCCGAGGCGCCGGCTTGAATAAACAGAAGCACAGCAACAGCCGAGAAACGGAAGACGAAGACTTTGATGATCACGATCCCTATAACTTCATGGCACAGACGGCAGAGATTGCAGAAATAGCCAGGTGAGACAGGATTCGCAGCGTTGCGCAAAAAACAACAACAAAAATCACGGTTGGGTCCCAGAGTCCACCAGCCAACAAGCTATTGTATTTTGAGCAGAGCAGGGAGCCATAAGTTTTGCGGGACTAAAACTTGCTGTGGTGGCCTGGATTTCTGGGAGTTGTGGTCCATAAACATGGGGTGGGGCCCGGGGTTGTCAATCACTCTTCCCATGTATAGGTTTTCCCATGGCATCACAAACTCTTGTTTTCCAGGATTCTTGCTTATGTTAAGGGCCTACAGAGCAGAAACCTTTTAAGACCAATGTTGATCTCCACATGGAAAAAGATGATGATGAAAAAGTAATGGGGGCTAGGTGCTCCTTTCTAAGCATAACTGGGGAATTATTGACTGAACAGGACCTTAGTGTGCAAGTGGTTCTAGTTTCAATCCTAGGTGCTTCGATTTTAAGGAACATACAGGAGAATTGGGGAAGAGTCTTCATTTGAAATGCTAGAAAGCAGCAAACAACATCATGATTTTTAACTCCTCCCTCCCTGCTCTCTTTATATTTCTTGCCTTCTGGATCATAAGCCTGAGGACAGGCACTGTCTAGTTACTGATATTTGTAAGTCATTCTGGGAACATTTTTTTAAATTCAAAAATCTGGGTGAAAATGTTTCAGACAAATAATAAAAGAGATTTGCAACATCTTAAAGACAAACTCAATATGTTTGGCATAAACTATTTTGTAGACTCTGCTCAATTCACCTTATGGGGTGATACAGAAATACTTCTGCCAAATAAAATATAATGGCCTTTAAACTGCTACAAGCCTCTCTTTTTTTTGCTGTGGCAAAAAAAATCTATCCTGGAAATTTAAAAATGAATAATACTGGGGTCTATAGAATAATACTGGTGCAAAATAGTCTTGTTTTTTTGATACAAGTAAGGTTGTTGTGAAGTATACTGAGATAATATTAAATTATTTGGAGCAGTACAATAATAGTGCTGTTATTAGAGAGTTCCATTTAAAAATGAGATACAGTAGAGATGTTTGAACTTCACAGTCCCACAAGTACGGGAAGCTTCTGAATATGTCGTGTGACGAAATCATACAATTGCCATTGAAGAAAACTCTTAATCAGCTTATTCCGGGAAGGTGGTGCCATTGTATGTTCGATAATGGCACAGCTGGGTTTTTAAAGGATGGCAGCTTTTTAGGAACTGTAGCATTACACAGAGCTTGGCATTCTGTAAATATTTTCAGCTTAAGAAGCCAGCTCATGCCTTACCATTTGTAATTTTGAAGATCTCCCACACTCCTATTGCCCTACATTTTTAAAAAGCCTTTTCATTTTAAAAACAAAATCCTGCTAAAAGATTAAAAGGCCATTTGCTTCACCACAACGTACAATCAAAGCAGAAATAGCACCGTTTGTTCCTAGAAATCCACGTTATCGCATGCACTTAAGAGATTGTAAAAGCAAAAGCAGGGTGTGTGTTTGAAATCCGTCTGGCGTCCTCCGGTGTAAAGTGTTCCCTTGAAATTTTACAGGAAAGCAGCTCCATAAATGCAGTCTTTGGCTTCCGCCTCTGCTCTCATTTCTGAATCAACAGGGAGACACAGTGTAGAATAGCAAATGAAAGTTCAGAGGGAAAATTGCCCCCTCATCTATGCTGGGCTTAATCATTTAATTGAGGCATTAGAAGAGTCTGCTTCAGCTCCAGACAAATCTGTAGTCACTCAGTCATGCCGTTCCAAATACAGGTATTGCTTTGTTTGATTCAGATGTTTGTCCTAGGGAACAGCTCAGAAATATTTGGTAACCTTGTGTGTTTGTGCAGAATCATGCCGAACAGTATGGTTGCAACTGGTATGTTAATCAACCAAAGTGTGTGAAGATTTTAGCCAGTGAATATAAATTTTTGTTGCCAAAGCTGAAAATTTAAGGGCATGTTTGTTTATATTTAAAAACTGTTTTGCTTCTGCCACGTGTCACTATTTAGAACATTTTAAAAAGGAAAATATTAAAGATGCCAGTTCCCTTTCATTATGAATAATAGTTTTTGATTAACAAATTGTTGCCTAGCACTTCCTTTAGTCTCTCAAAAAAAAGTAGTAACGTAGAGGAATAAAAATGTGTATAATTAATTAAATTGAATTTAATTTATTAGTTAAACAACTGATTAAAAACAAATAATAAACACTATAGATCTGATGACAGCCCCATAATAATGTTCCACTTTTGGCAAACCTCAGTCTGTGGAAGGGGATTTCACCAACTTGTTGCCTTTGTGTGTGTGTGTGTTTGTCTTTGTCGCCATTTTGAGTTTCCTAGAATCATAGAAGAACTGAGTTGGAAGAGGCCTATAAGACCATTGAGTCCAATGCAGCAATCCAAATCAAAGCCTCCACTGTTTGAGCACTCACCACCTCTGTTGTCGTATTGATATTCCACCTAAGTTTAGCTTCCTGTAGCTTGAACTCATTATTATGTGTCCTGTTCTCTGGGATGATCGAGAACAGATCCTGTGCCTCCTTTCTTTGACAGTCTTTTAAGTACAGTGGTGCCTCGCAAGACGATGTTAATTCGTTCCGTGAAAATCGCTGTCTTGCGAAAACATCGTCTTGTGAAACGAAAAAGCCCATTGAAATGCATTGAAACAGGTTCAAAGCGTTACAATGGGCTGAAAACTACCTGTCCAGTGAAGATCCTACATAGGGGCGGCCATTTTCGGTGCCTGTAAAGCGAGGAATCCGTCCTAAAACACACCGGGGAGCCATTTTGCACAGCGGGCGGCCATTTTAGAACCGCCGATCAGCTGTTTCTAAAGTATCATTTAGCGAAAAAGCGGTTCCCAAAGCAGGGAACCGATCGTCGTTAAGCAAATTTTCCCCATAGGAACATCATTTTGCGATCGCAAAAGTGATCGCAAAAACTTCATAGTCAAGCGGTTTCATTGTTTAATGAGGCAATCGTTAAGCGAGGCACCACTGTATTTGAAGAGTGCTATCATATCACCCCTCAGTCTTCTTGTCTCAAGGCTAAACATGCCCAGTTCTTTCAGTCTTTCCTCACAAGGCTTGGTTTCCTTTCTCATGATCATCCCTGTTGCCCTCCTCTGCTCCAGTTTGTTGGCATCCATCTTAGTGTGGTTTCCAGAACTGGCAACAATATCCTCAGTGAGGCCTAACCAGTGCTGGATAGAGGGGATTAGTACCTCAAAAGGTTTGGAGGCTATACTTCCTGAGTACATTTTCCATCATCTCCACTGGCCAGGCTGAGTCAAGATTGTGGAGATTGTGGTCCAGCACATCTGGAGGTGCCAGGTTGGAGAAGACAAGCTTAGAGTATGATGGAGAGGACCATGACTTCCTCCTAGTTATTTCTTGGGCATGTCTGCAACGTAAAATAAGATAAAACAGAGATCAGGTTTGTCCGCTAAACGGCTGAAGATTCATCAGCTCTTGACTTATTTGTGTTGGTTTTCTAGATTAAGCCAGACCTTGGTGAAAGATGTGGCGATTCTTGCTCGGGAGATTCATGATGTTGCTGGAGATGGAGATTCCCAAAGCTCATCAGGAACGGGACCGAGCACCTCCCACAGTTCTGTGCCTAACACCCCTGCTTCTACCATATCAGCAAGGGAAGAGGTAAGACAGCTGCTTAAGGCTTGTGTGTTTGTGACTGGAATCAAAATAGGGGTCAAAGTGAAGATTCAATGGGTGTTACGCTCTCAAGCTAGTACACGCCATCCTTATTTAGATAATTGTATGCCTGGAAAAGCATGCTGCTCATCCTCCATTGACTCATTCCTATGTGAAAAACTGCAACATTTTTATTTTCACTCGTAGGAAATATTTTCTGGCAGTCTCAGTGAGTGTTTTTGCGTCTGTGGAAATAACATGATTTGCTCAAAACTAGTATAATGGACTTCCACGAATAATATTGGATGGGTACTGTGGAAAGAACATGATTTGCTCACAACTAGTATCATGGACTTCCACGAATAATATTGGATGGGTTGTTTTGCATCTTTTTGCATCCTTTTGTACTTATGCAGGGGATGGATAAAGTGGATAGAGGAAAGCTCTTTCCCCTCTCACACAGTACTAGAACTAGGGGACAGCCACTCCAATGGAGTGTTGGGAGAGAACAGACAAAGGAACTCCTTCCCACAGGATGTGGTGATGGCATCTGGCCTAGATGCCTTTAAAAGGGGATTGGACAGATTTCTGTCCAATCCCCTTTTGTAACCATCGCAGGTTACAAGCCATTGATGGGGATGTACAATCTCCAGGCTTAGAAAGAAGGTACCTCAAATGCCAGATGCAGGGGAAGAGTTTCAGGAGACAGCTACCTTGTTGTCTCATGTGGTCCCAGAGGCCTCTGTAAGGGCCACTGTGAGATACAGGAAGCTGGATTAGAGGGGCCCCTGGCCTGATCCAGCAGGGCTCTTCTTATGTTCTTAATTGTGTGTATGTAGGTGCACACATCTGGGAATATGCCCACGTTGCTACTTGAAGGGAAAAGAATAGTTTTGTGTAGAGACATGTTGCAGAAATTACTGAGACAGAATTAAGATGGAGCTCTTAACAAAAATGACAAATTTAACAAGCATTCCCAATTTCTCTTAATTCAGTCATCTGATTATGAAGGAGGAATTCTTAATATATATTCAAGTCCTCCTAATTTAGTACAGTACGTTAATTTCAGGTGACTCTCCTTGTCTGATGGCTAATTCTTACGTTAGAAGAGAAAAGACGAGATGCTGTTCAACAATAGCTGTGCCACATCCAGGGTTTCCCATAATATTTTGTTACTGGAATATATAACATAGTAATTTTATAATTTTATACTATGATTGATTGATTGATTGATTGATTGATTGATTGATTGATTGATTGATTGATTGATTGGATTTTTACCCCGCCCCTCTAGACAATGTCTACTCGGGGCGGCTTACAAATAAAACATGGCAATATATACATATGTAAAATCATAAAAATTTACAGTTATTTACAAATTATAATTACAGTTTGAGTAATTGATTACCAACCAAGACATTGCTAAGATGGCATACCATAAGGAGAAAGAAAAAAAACTAGGGATAGAATTCACTTAATTGACTGGAGGGAAGGCCTGTTTAAATAGCCAAGTTTTCAGCTTCTATGCCACCTGACTGAGAACTCACAAATGTGCACAGTGATTTGATATTATCATAATGAGATGTTTCTTTACTTTAGGCCCACGTGGTTGATGATGGGTGGGGGTGTGTGCATATATTACATCTAGGTTTTGCCCCACTATATCACCATTAAAGGTCACTATAAATAATTCTGAAATGTTGGATAAATATTATACTCCAGAACAAGTCTCCCCACTAAAACTGTCATCTACAGATTGTGATTTGACTGTCTACCTGTATCTTCTCTCTGATTCCTTCTAGCAAACTACCTGGGCAGTATTTCCACATTTTTGGAATGCTTTCTTCTTCCATTTCATCTGTTTTGCATATACATTCACATCAAATTGGAATGCTTTTTCCTTCCAGTTGACAATCACTTGCCCACAAGTCTTCTTAATATTTATATGCATTGTACTTCTTGAGTAGAAGAGGACAGACCCCTATCTGAAAGTGCATATAATCCAATATTTGATTTGGGGGAAACCAGGAGAAGGGGAGGCAGGCCAGGCAAGGAAATAATGGCCTAAGTCCACTTGTTCATCCCGACTGGAGGAGAACCATCGAATCAGTGAGGTTTGCCTAAATGTTGATTTATCATTCAGTAGCTGATTTAGTGAGTTCCGTTCTTTTTTTCCTTTAGAATATTTTACTCCACTGTTCTCATTAAAAAGGATTCAAGGCAGCTTACATTATTAAAAGGCAACGTCTAAAAGCTAAAAAACAGTACAGTATCTATACAAATATAGATTTTTTTTAAAAAATTAAACACATGTTATATTGAAACGGTAAATAAAACTAATACTAAAAACACATTAAAAAGCAAGAAGGCACAAAATTGACTTTAAAAAAAACCCTCTGAGACAGCCAGTCCTAAGGAAAAGCCTGCCTGAAAAGAAAGGTCTTTGTTTGCTTGTGGGACAACATGGCCTCCCATAGGAGAGAAATTCAGAATATGAGAGCAGTGACGTTAGTTGGGGTTAGCAGTTGGATTTAGGACTGTATGTTCACAGTGCTCCTCACTGAATAGTGTAAAACCAGATGAAAAGAGGGAAGGGGAGAAAAGAGAGAGTATTGCGACTCGTAGGCCATGTTGTTTTTTTCAGTGGCTGGGGAATTTTATATATATTTAAAGCAACTTTGCAATTCAGTGGCCTGGCCCTACATTTCTGTACCTTGAAGTCCTCCATGTTTTGTTCCCTCACTGCTCTTTAGGATGTGAGGCTGAACTTGGGTTTGCTCTTTGGTCTTCTAGAGTCGCTGAAAAAATGTCTTGCTGAGGCAATGTGGAAAGGAATGATTCTTGCTTTATAACTGGGTTGTTTTTTAAGGGTTAGCTAAGGGTTATCTAGTGGTGCCAGAAGGCTTCACTAAATACAACTCTAAACGGCAAAGCCAAGAAAATGAAAAGTTCACTTTACTAATAACATTTGCTCTCGGGACTTTGATCCACTGTAGATTTATTATCACTGCAATAAATACTTTTCTGCCAAGCTCTCCTTCTCCTCATTACTTAGTTTGACTTTTAAATTCTCTGCCTGTTGCGCTTATTAGTTTACTAAATTTCTGTAATCTTGTGCCCTTCGCTGGTATGTGGGGCTGAGGTATTTCGCCAGCAAAGAATGGACAATTTTGGGATTAAATGACACGCTTACAGGTCTCTTTGCAACTGTCAAATAATGATTTCCCCCCGTTTTCCCTCAGTTTCGGTTGGATTTGTTATTGCCTGTAAGTAAAAATACTAATAGATGTGCACTGAGCAAAATAGATTAGAATAGGGGTATAGAGATTAGAATAGTGATTTAGAAACCTTTGTATGTGTTTGTTTGTCTCGCTTTGCACACATGCAAGATCCCCACCCAAAAATCGGGATGAAATAGCGAACACCTGCGATGAAACAGGAACTCAGGATGGACTTGATTTAAATCATAATTCGTTTATTTTTTAAAAAAATAAATAAATGAATTTGATATTTAAAAAATCTGTGATTTTAATCCACCCGACTGGAACCACTTAAAATGTACTCTTATAAGACTGGAATGTAATGTTTAAGTATATAAGGCTTCTTGTTTTTTTCCCCCCCTGGAAAGAGTAGAGAAATCAGTGAGGTGTTTAAAGGGCATAGTAAAAAAAAGCCCATTAAAATGTGACCATCCTAAATTAAAGAATTATGTGAAAAGATAAGATAGTAATTCAGGGTGTATGCCTCTTCTGGTTTGGTTGTGAACCTCCTATGTTTCTTCAGTATGTATTTAGGTCAGAATTTAGAATGTTTCCTTTTTTAGAGTAGAACTTCCATAATTTCCTAGTGGAAAGTAATTTTTATAAGTTCTGGATCTGGAACCAGATATGGCAGCTCCTCACAGCTGCCTTCTCTCCATGGTCAAGGCCTCCATTAGTTTTTTGGAGTACAATTCCCCCCCCTCATATGCTAACACAGCTGTGCCTTTGAAAACTGGATGATTTTGGGAACTGTAGTCTAAAAAAACAACATTTCCAAGACCCGGAAACAAGAATCAAGGCAAAGAGAGAGAGAGAGAGAGAGAGAGAGAGAGAATATTGTAGCTACTGGCAGGCTAAATAGGGGAATCAGAGACCTTCTTCCTCATTTACTGTAAATCTGACTGCTGCAAGGTCTTTAGAATCTGAATGGCAACCTGACAGAGCATCCTAGGATACTCATTAAAAAACATAGATTTCAGCCTCTCATCAGTGGCAGGTTGTTTGATTGGTTTTGATGCATGCAGGGTGTCCACTAAGATACGCATGTGTGCCTAACGTACACCAGCATTAAGCCATATATTGCATTGAGGCAAGTACTGTACACTTCTATTGCCTGATTTCTTTCTGTCTTGCAGAACTAGCTTTCAAAAGGATTCCTTAATCACATATATTCACAGCTTTTAAAAAGGAGTCTTGTATTAGTGAATGTGGACTCGCCACACTGCATGACATCACATGAGTTAAGGCCAGAGCTCATTGAGTGGAACACGGGCTTTGCATGCAGAGGATGTTGTCTTAGGTTCGATTCTCAAGTTTTCCAGTTCAAATGGTTTCAGGTGCCAGGGATCATCCATTCTGGGAAGCTCTGCCAGTTAGTGTCAGGGGCTACGAGGATCCAGGCACTTTTGTGTGTTTGTATGGTGTGTTGCAATGTTCTGTGATAGCCCAGCTGCTGCTCTGGATCTTTGCCTTTTACTTTCTCAACTGCCTTTTGCATTTTTATTTTGGCTCGTCGGCTTTGTAACTGTGTGTACAGATCCTCCTAATGTTATGTTCAGCACTGATCTCTCTTTCTCTCCCTCTCCCTCTGTTTTTCTTTCCCTATTTTTAATACAGATTGCTCATTCATCTTTGCGGGCAGCAATTCCATCTCAGGTGCATTTTCCATCCCACTATTTTGAAGCATTTTAGTGTTCTTTTAATGTTTTCCTCGTTATGTTGACCAGTTTTATGTTAAGGATATAATTTGTTTGTTCTTTTTTTTAAAAAATCTTGCTAATAGTTATGATTTGAGTATCCTTTGCTTAGTCTCCTTTGCTTTTACTTCTCTGGATTTTAAGGTTTTGTTTTTGCAAACTTTACAATTAACAGCATACATTTTTGTTCACATCTTGTTGCATTGTACACATAATAAGGACTGTGTCCAAATGGTCAATGTGTTGGGAAGGATTCAGCTGGGGACTGAAAATTTTCCTTTACTACAAAGGCCCTCTTCCCGTACCAGTGACCTCCTTATAGCTGATATAACCATGTACATGCCATGGATGTGTTTATAATGTACAAATGCCAATTCTGCATAGCTGTTATCCTCTGATCTGGAGACTCTTTAAAATTTGTGGTTGCATTTATTAAACTGAAGTGGGCAGGGCTGATTCAGCCTTAAAACCAATGAGCACGACCACTCTGTCCCTGGATCTCTGTATATTTGGTAGCTGTTCTGTAAAGGGAGGTGATATGCCTGCCCTCAAACACATGCAACACCTTTGCATCA